TAAAATAGGTAAAGAATATAAACAGTTCACAGAAAATAAAACATAAATGACTTTTATAAGAAAATCTCATTTTCATAAGAAACATACAAATAAAATTATATCAACATATCATGACCCATTTATTAAATTAGTAAAGACCAAAAGTGTGGTAGTAAACTATATGGGTTAGGGTGGTAGAGGATAAGCACTCATTCATTCCTGGTATGTATAAATTAGTACCCTGTCTGAGGCCAGCAATTTGGCAATATCTATCAAAATTACAACACACTATATTTTGACCCCACAACTACCATTCTAGGAATCTATGCTAAATTTAGATGCTGTACTCATACCTGTGTCTCCATGGAAAGTACTCTGAAGAACTGCTTGAGAACAAAAGATAAAAAATAGAACCCTCCACCAGTACAGTGATTAAATTACCACAGTATATAAACTGTGGACTATCATGCAGCCATTGAAAAGGAAGTACTGATATGAAAGAATCTCCAAGATAAGGAAAAAAGGCCCAGGAAAAGTGGTAACGTGAAGTCCTTAAAAGAACCTGAACCTCTCTGAGGACACATGAAGACATCCCAAGGGGTACACAGAAACACAGGTGTAAGGAGGTCAATTTTTAGACCATCTTCCACATATACTAGTTCCTACTGATCTTCCCTGAGAATTAGCACAGGCTCAGGGCTGATCGATCCTTCTATTCTCATCCCCATTGCCCCTTTCTCACCCAACTCTCAACGGCCCCATATCTTAGAGTGGAGCACAACTCAAGGGGGTAGAAACACTCAGGGCACCACACAGAGACCACCAGTGACAAAATCAAAGTTTCTTTAACCAAGATATCAGAAAGAGTTTTGTATCTTATACATATTTCAGTTACAGAGAAGTGTGGTGTTAGAATTGAGGCATTTTGCCCAGCGTTAGAATGTTATAAATTCAAAAATATTTGACTATGACATCAGATATCTACCTACGGATCAATCAATAGGGAGATATATGAATAATTTCACTTAAAGACTTCACTGTTTCCAAATAGTGAATGGTGGTCCAAAAAAGAATGCATAGCTCCCAAAAAAGAGTCCCAAGAAAACAAACAACAAACGAACAAACAAAAAAGCATCTGTAAAAAAAAAAAAACAATAGAAGGCCTTAGTCCATCACAGTGAGGCTTTGAGCATTATCCAGGAGACTTGTCTTAGAATTCAGAAGATGGTTGCTTTGGAAATGCATAGTACTCAATTTAATAAAATTGGCAAAAGGAATCAGACTTTCTGACAGAAAATCAGTGTGATTCAGCTGCCTACTTATTCAATAAGGACTAGCTTTGCCATTGATGGTCATGATGGTGGTCATTTTCTACAAATGAACAAATAAAATCCAGTTCCAACAATCTGATGAAAATATAAATACTCTGTATGTTAGTATTAGCTTACATATCACATATTCAAATACATTTTAAGGACATGCATAAAATTACTCCAACTTTTCCAGACCTTTCTGAGTATACTAGAGGCCCGATGCACAAAATTCGTGCACATGGGGGGGGGGGGGAGTCCCTCAGCCCAGCCTGCACCCTCTCCAACCTGGGATCCCTCTCACAATCCAGGACTGCTGGCTCCCAACCACTCGCCTACCTGCCAGCCTGGTCATCCCCTAACCACTCTCCTGTCAGGCTGATTGACGCCTAACTGCTCCCCTGCCGGCCCGAATGCCTTTAACTGCCCTCCCATGCCAGCAGGTCACCCATAACTGCTCTTCCCTGCCAGCCTGGTTGCCCCTAACCGTCCTCCTTTGCAGGCCTGGTCACCCCCAACTACCCTCTTCTGCCAGCCTGGTCGCCCCTAACTGCTCTCCCCTGCTGGTCTGATACTCACCCCCCACCCCACCCCCGTCCTCCCCTGCAGACCTGGTCCCCTCATCTCCTCTCCCAGCAGGCTTGGTCCCCGCTGTAACTGTCCTCTTCTGCAGGTCTGGTCCCTACCCACTGCCCTCCCCTGCTGCTCTGATCTCCCACATCTGCCCTCCCCTGCTGGCCATCTTGTGGTGGCCATCTTGTGTCCACATGGGGGCAGCCATCTTTGACCACATGGGGGTGGCCATCTTGTGTGTTGGAGTGATGGTCAATTTGCATATTACTCTTTTATTAGATAGGATTGGTTTAAATAAGGTCCCAATGATGGTTAATTCTGTTGAATAGGCCAGGCTATACAGTCCAGTTATTCAAACTCTAATCTAGGTGTTGCTGTGAAAACATTTTATAGATGCATTAACTCCAGCTGCTTTAGTAAGCGGTGTCATTCTCAGTGATCTGGGGGGGGGGGCTTCATCCAGTCAACTGAAATATCCAGACAACTGAAAGGCCCCGACATCAGATTTCAGACTCGCCTGGCCAACCCCATAACCTTAGTCTGTCACATGCACTATGTCTCTTTACATATTTATTTTTTAAATATATATTTTATTGATTTTTTACAGAGAGGAAGAGAGAGGGACAGAGAGTTAGAAACATCAATGAGAGAGAAACATCGCCCAGCTGCCTCCTGCACACTCCCACCGGGGATGTGCCCGCAACCAAGATACATGCCCTTGACCGGAATCGAACCAGGGACCTTTTAGTCCACAGGCTGACACTCTATCCACTGAGCGAAACCGGTTTCAGCTCTCTTTACATGTTTATATTAACCAGTTGGAGATCCTGTGTATGTGCAGGAGAGTATACGTATACATAAGAAAGACATGTATCTTTCTCTCGTAGAACTGTAGGTAATACAATCCCAATAGGTGGAAGTAAGAAGTATAATTAACAGTCATTTGTTAGGTCTCGCTAAAGCCTTTTTATTGAGCTTCTCAGAAAAGGAAACCATGAATGACTCTAATGACTGATTAACAAACCTCTTCCAAGCTTGATGGTTTCAAATTCTCTGCTCTCAGCAACACTGAAGGAGATCCTAATTTAATTGTCAGCTGCTAAATCGTTTCAAAAATCACTTTTGATGAAAAACTGCTACATCATTTTTTCACATGCAACTCAGAAGAACAAACAACAAGATAATTTGTAAGCTCTGAGATCAGGGTTCCCGCTGCTTTGTTCACTGCTCACCATCAGGACATACAAGAGCGTCCAGAACACACAAGGAGCTCAAAATGTATTTGATAAATCAAAAAATGAACAAAACTCCACTATTCTCATCTACTTACTGAAATTAAAAAGTTTGTCAGGACCTACATCTATAAACACAAAAATAGGGAATGGAATCAATGCCAAACCCTGCCTCATTCTAGCAACAAGTGACAGTATTGTAAAGACTCATTAATCTGGAGGAGAGTAAGTCCCATTCATCTTGTTAAGAGATGATTTCCAGTAAAAATGTATTTTTATGTTGAGTAATTATCAAACATTTTATAATATTTGTACTACAATTACGATAAGTCCAAAAGAAAGTAAGACTGAGCCTATGGACACAGGAAACAGTTTTTACATTTTAATTTACACATCCATTTTTGTTACTGAGAATGATATGATGATGATGAAACCCATCAAACATAAAACTACATCAGGCCAAAATTCTGTGGAGAAAACAAATGGAAAGGAGCTGAAGGGAAAAACGGGGTCACATAAGATTTCAAACTGTTAAAGTAGAGCTTGTTTATATATTGTTTTTAACCTATGATGATGGGTAAAATGTTGCAAAATTTATTTTTTAACGGAATCAACAATTTTTAAATGTCAGTATTTACAACACACTAGAAATATTTCTGCAACTATTTAAGTTTTGAAGAAAAATTTTACATGTCAACTTTAAAATGTATAACGAAGTACATTCTCTCTCATCATTGATGTTTCTACCTCTCTTCCTCTCCCCCTCTCCCTTTCTCTCTGAAATTAATAAAATATAAAGAAAGAAAAATAAATTGAGAATCATTGATCCTACATGCCCCACACTGGGGGTCAAGCCCACAACCCGCGCATGTGCCCTGACCAGATATCGAATCATGACCTCCTGGTTCACAGGTCAACACTCAACCATTGAATCATGCTAGCCAAGCAAAAATATATTAAAAAAAAAAAAAAAAGGAGGATGAGGAGGAGAAAGAAGAAGAAAGAAGAAGAAGGAAGAAGGAAGAAGGAAGAAGGAAGGAGGAAGAAGGAGGAAGAAGGAGGAAGAAGGAGGAAGAAGGAGGAAGAAGGAAGAAGAAGGAAGAAGAAGGAAGAAGAAGGAGGGAGAAGGAAGAAGAAGGAGGGAGAAGGGAGAAGGGAGAAGGGAGAAGGGAGAAGGGAGAAGGGAGAAGGGAGAAGGGAGAAGGGGAAGGAGAAGGAGAAGGAGAAGGAGAAGGAGAAGGAGAAGGAGAAGGAGAAGGAGAAGGAGAAGGAGAAGGAGAAGGAGAAGGAGAAGGAGAAGGAGAAGGAGAAGGAGAAGGAGAAGGAGAAGGAGAAGGAGGAGAAGGAGAAGGAGAAGGAGAAGGAGAAGGAGAAGGAGAGGAGGAGGAGCTCAGAGTTGCTATCTACAGGAATGAGAATGTAAATATCACATTTTACTTTTTCCTAGAAATTTTTAACACATGCCTAATAAACAATATTAAGAATTTTTGAAAATGTAAATATTAACCAGTTATTTAAAGGGATGGGGGAAGTCCTCCAAGAAAATATCAGTGAAGTATAAATTTCCTCTTATTTATACACTCAAACCACCATCACAAATGAGAGATGGCAAAACACTGCCCTGATTGTCTGCTGAAGCCTACTTGCAAAGACTTCTACTTCAACATTTTGACTAAGAAACATATGATGCAACCTAAAAAAAAAAAAAAAAAAAAAAAAAAAAAAAAAAAAATACTAAAACCAAGCACCACCCAAAAAAATCACTCCCATCTAAACTAAGAGGAAGACAAATTAGAAAGCAAAAACCTACAGGTAACAAAAAAGGTTTTTTTCCTCACATCATGGATAATGAAAGACTTAAAACATTTTTTTAATTAATCCAAGAGAAAAAAAAAAAACAACTTACTAGCATGCTTGTCTGCAAGCATTATAAGCGTGTTGGAAATATCTCGTCGTCTATAGAAGCATACTACTTTTGCTTCCACGTTGCCAGTTGCAGTCTAAGAAATAAGAAAAATAAAAGTCATCTGTACTAAGTATTAAATTCAAATAGTTTATAAAACAAAACTAGATACCGCACAATTATAAGATCACTCTCATTTACACTGTGCCAACCACTACTGCAGAATAATCAGAGAGCTAAAACACTCAAATAAGGTTGAGCAACATTTGTTCCAGTTCCCAGTAGAACGAATATGTCAAACATAAAATAACTTTCTGGCATCAATTATAAAGTGATCAGACCGTTTTTAACAAATAAAGCCAGACACAGTTAAATCTGATTAGCCTTAGGAAACTAATCCCCAAAACTTCAACAGCCATGAAAGAATTTATTTAAGACAGTTACACATATCTCCTCTAAATCCACTCCCAGAAGCACAGGAGAAGAGTAAAATCGCCCAGCCCTCTTCTGAACACCCCACAATGGCCTGATGATGAAGCCCTGTAGGTATAGCACAGCCATCATGCAGGATGGGCCAGGTGACTTGGAAAAGCATTGTCCAGCCTGAGGGAGTCTATGAACCCATCATAGTCAATAATCTTAGCGGTACTTACTTTACCTTCCCACAGGAAAGTATTAAAAACCTTGAGTTATGAGCACTGATGCTCTTATTTCTTTCTGACTACCGTCTAGAATACAATCAATATTCAGTTAGGTTGTAATTTACTGCAGCTGGGGCCCAGGCCCGAACACTCCTATTCTTTATGAATTCTAAGAGCTTTCAAGAAGGTCAATCATTCATTATAAAGTTCCTTGTAAAAACATATAGAGTTCAATAAAAGGCTATTGTGATTTCCGATTTCAAACACATTTAAAAACAAATTTTCAGAATTTCTCTGGGCTTACAGATATATTCAAACATAAAGAAATAAGAATATATACTTGCTGCAGTAAATTTGTCAATTTTATGAAGTTCAGCAGTTTTAGAGTGAAAAATAGTCTTATAGAATACTGCCTCTTAAAATTGAAATCATATTGTCCTAACCAAAGTGTTTCTATATTTCACAATATTGCGATTGAATATATCCTCCAGAAATAATGATCCAGCAATCTGCTAAAAGAGCAAGCCAATATTTCCACGTAAATAAAATCTATCAATTACTTCAATTATAAGATCTTTATCATTTTTGTCTTCTTGACATAAAAGTATATTAAAAACCCAAAACAAGAGTTTCAAGGAATAGTTTTTCTGTATCACCAGTGAGTTCCTTCCTTAGGAATACTTTACAAAGCTAATTAAAATTCTTATTTAAACATGCTTGGGCCGAGACCGGTTTGGCTCAGTGGATAGAGCATCGGCCTGAGTACTGAAAGGTCCCGGGTTCGATTCCGGTCAAGGGCATGTACTTTGGTTGCGGGCACATCCCCAGAAGAGGATGTGCAGGAGGCAGCTGATCGATGATTCTCTCTCACCGATGTTTCTAGCTCTAGCTCTCTGTCCCTCTCTCTTCCTCTCTGTGAAAAATCAATAAAATATATTTTTAAAAAAAATGCTTGGGATGGAAAGGCATAGTTCAAAATAAATATTCTCTTCTGGTCTATGTACAAACTTGGCTATTAGGTAGTTTAAGACTACAGTATTCCTCTACAACACACACACACACACACACACACACACACACACACACTCTCACACACACACACCCTCAAGCATCCCTCTAAAGCTGAGCTACCAAAATGTGGTCCAAGACCCAGTCCACGCTGTATATACTATGTAATAAGATGAGTACAGTGTTGAGAGTATGTGTATTATAGCATTTGAGAGTTGATTTTATAGCTATTGAACCTAACAATGAAAAATGGGACCTTGTATTTTTATAAGCCTATTTCAAATTTAACTTTTCTGCCTTTTTAATTTTACAAAAGCAGTCTGAGATAGTGAAAACTCTACCACAAATAGTTTGAAAAGCACTGCTCTGTGGCCTAGGTTAAATAAATCCTATTCATATTCTTTGGTTATTCACCAAAATTTAACTTGATTGATTGTAGAGAGGGAGGGAGGAGAGGATAGAAGAGAGAGAGGAAGAAAGAATAAAAGAAAGAGAAATATCAATTTGTTGTTCCACTTATTTATGCATTCATTGGTTGATTCTTGTATGTGCCCTGACCAGGGATTGAACCTGTAGCCCCAGGGTATTGGAGACGATGCTCTAATGGGGATGATGCTCTAACTAGTTGAGCTACCAGGCCAGGGTTCCCCAAAATTTTTTGAGTCCTTCCTATGTGCCCAAGCACTGAGCTAAGCACTGCAGATACATGGTGCCTGCCCTCACTAAGCCTCCCTCCAGCAAGCATGGTCACTTGTCATCTCCTCTCACAATCTTCCAAAACCCAGTGATCTTGCCCCTCACCTGATTAGACTCCTTCACCAGTTCCCCACAACTAACATAAAGGTAAAACATCTCTGACAATATTCCCAGCACAATTTTCCTTTACTTCCTCCTCTTCCCCCAGACTGCACTTCTCACTCACCATGGAGGCAGGAAGTACTAGTACAAGCTGCTGCGGAAAGAACAGAAAAAGTTTCATGGATGAAATGAGGTGGAGAATAATTGTGTAAAAGTTCCCAAAACTTTTCCAGAAAAATTGAGGCTAAAATATGTTACTGTAATTTAAAAGCAAAAACAAAAACAAAAACCTGTAGTCTAGCTTTCAAACTAAGCAAGTAACATTTTATTTTTTTATTTTAAATATATTTTTTTTAATTTTTTTTTTACAGAGAGGAAGGGAGAGTTACAGAGAGTTAGAAACATCCATGAGAGAGAAACATCGATCAGGTGCTTCCTGCACACTCCCTACTGGGGATGTGCCCGCAACCAAGGTACATGCCCTTGACCGGAATTGAACCTGGGACCCTTCAATCCGCAGGCTAATGCTCTATCCACTGGGCCAAACCAGTTTTGGCAGCAAGTAACATTTTAAATAGGATCTTTTTTAAAAACCGGGAGCCAGCATATAAAAGTACATTTTCTATAACAATGGTGATTGACCGTTTATCCTAGGAATTTGGTGGTTTTTTTAATTCTATTTAGATAGTTAATAAAATAGGTTAATGTCTCTTCTTCTTCTGGCTTATCAATTATATATCAAGTGTTCTTAAAATCATTATTTGGATTGTCCAATCGTGTTAATTTTCCCCTACTTTGCAAACTCGACCTAATAGGCAAGGCCTTCTGGAACACTCTTGTGGTCTCTCTCTCACAGCTACCTCTTTCTCATCCTCTAGGCCTCAACTTCAAGGTCCTTAATATCTTTCCTTCTCTATCCAAAGGAAGTGACCTCTATTATTCCTTATGCAAGGCTTTTGCTTATTTCTCTCTCAGCAATTAACACTTCATCACTATTTTCTTTTTAATATATTTGTATTGATTTCAGAGAGGATGGGAGAGGGAGAAAGATAGAAACGTGGCTGAGAATCACTGATAAGCTGCCTTCTGCACACCCTCCACAGGGGATTGGGCCCACAACCCTGACCAGAAATAGAACCATGACCCTCTGGTTCATAAGTCAATGCTCGACCTCTAAGCCACACTGGCTGGGCTATCACTATTTTCTTTATGCCTGTTAACACCTTTTCATGTATCTCCTTCATGAGAACACAGGCTTTATGTAAGCAGGGACCATGGCCATATTGTTCACTATTGTATCTGAGCCTGGCATAGCCCCTAGGACATGATAGGTGCTCAAGAAATATTTGTTTAATTACTTATTTAAAATGAGGTATCTTTACCCTTCACACCCATTCCTCTTGGTGTGGATTCCATTACAATAAATTAAAAAATAAATAAATAAATAAATAAATTATATATTATATATATATATATATATATAAAATCTTTCTCACACCGCTTCAGAAATAAAGGCTATATATATAGCCTTTATTTCTGAAGGTACTAAATATATATATTTAGCCAATCTCCATTTCTGTTTACCAATACTTCATCTAATCAAACTCATTCTTGACATTAAAGAAAATCCCATTCCTCAATTCTGTCATCTCCAGCTCCCAAAAGATAATTATTGTATTAATGATTCTTTGCTGAAAGCAGAGAGGCAGGGAGAAGGTGAGGACTGGTGGGGGCCTGGGGGTACTTTTGAAGTGCATGATAATATAAAGGAGTGCAAAATGACCATGCTCAAGCTCGATGTATAACCCAGTCATTTAACCACTGTGTGCCTCACGACTGCAATTCATAATGCATCTTCCTTAGAGGTTCAAGGCTATTGTGAGGTTCAACAGAGGTAACAAAGTGAATCCCCAGATATTATGCTTCCAGAGCATCATGCTCTGATTTTTATAAATTTAGCACAGCTACAATTTCCTTCATGTAGGATTATCTGGCTGATGTCTGCCTCCACTTTTTTATTTCTGTTCATCCCTGAATTCCTGAAAGTGCCTGTCTAAAAGTGACTGGCAAGTAGCAGGTTCTCAGAAATATCTGTAAAACAAGTGAATCGAAATACTTTGTAAACAATAAAACTATTTACAATTATTAACAGCAGACATTTGAGAAATCCATTAATTCAACAAATATTGATTAATGCCGTAACCACGGGCCAGCCAGGCACTATGCTAAGACACTGGGGATGCACGGGTGAACAGAGAAAATCATTACCCACCCTCAGCTCACATTCTAGTTTGGGGAAACAGCAACGAAAATAGACACATTAATTCAGCGTATCAAAAGGTGATAAAAGATATGGAAACAAGAGCAAAGTACAAGAGAATGGTAACAGCTAAACTGTCACGTGTGAGAAGCAGTGAGACTGCGTGGTCTGCCATGCTTGGAGCCAAATGAGGGAGGTGCAGAGCAGCAAGAGTGGAGGTTTCCACCCACAGACTGATCCAGCCCTGAAGCCCTGTCATCATTTGGCGGTGGTCACAAATACTACAGAAGCTTTAAAAATGCAAGACCCTTAGCCCTAACCTGAATGGTCCCAGGTTCAATTCCAGCCAAGGGCATGTGCCCTTGGGTGGGGACACATCCCCAGTAGGGGGTGTGCAAGAGGCAGCTGATCTATGTTTCTCTCTCATCCATGTTTCTAACTCTATCCCTCTCCCTTCCTCTCTGTAAAAAGTCAATATATATATATTTTTTTCTTTTTTTTTTTAATGCAAGACCCCTGCTGTAATCCCAAAAGAAAACCAAGACCTCAAGGTTTGTAAGACAGAAGAGTGTCCTTGATCAGACCTGGCTTCCTGAGACTCAGAACTGCACCAGTCTCCAGATGGCATTTTGGGATAAAGTTCTCAACTAGAAAGCCTCAAGCATTCTAACACTGTGACTTCTCATGAGCTACACAAATAACCCTCAGAGGGGTGTGGAGGAGAAATCTATGGTTCCTGCTGTTGACGGCCACGTTCATGTGCCTCCTTTGTAAACGCTCATCTGCTACAGTCCTAAAGCTTCTCTTGTCCTTGGACACCTGTGATCAGAGAAAGTTTTATTTACTTGGACCTGCGCTACAAAACCACTTTGTATTATACTCGTTAGCCATGGGCAGAATTTTACAAATTCCCTTCAACGTTATCTTTCCTAGCTTCCTCCTTCTAAAAGATGGAAGAGGGGAAAATTAACTCACTAAAAATTATGACCCTAACTATAAAAAGGGACTGAATTACAGGAATGACCTGCTCTGAGAAGCTCTAAGCAATCTGAAGAAATCTGCCGACATTAAATATTCAATAACATTTAATACCAGAGGCAATTATAAAAAGGCAAAGAATATTTAGAATCCTGCATAATTCTCTAATCTGAGATCTCTAATTCCAGAACGTTTGCGAAAGTAAAATCACCTCTTACGCTCTTTACCCAATTATCTTCGATAGAAAAAATTATTTTTTAATATTAGAATATTAAACACGCAATATACCTTGTTAAGTTCTTCTATCCTCCTGATTAGGTATGGGTTGCTGGAGGAATTCTCAAAGTAGACATAATCTGTAATTAAAGAAAGTAAAAGAGCTTTAATCTTTTCAAGAGAAAGTTCACATCTGTGAATCTGTGACTTTGCATATTGGGCAATTCACTCTCAAAATGAAGCCTGTAATTCATTCCCTGGTAAAAGCAAATTTAGCAACGCAACCTTCATATAGCCTCTCCTGTGCCTGCTATTCACCGACCCTTATTTCCCTGGCATTTTTTCATTTCAATTCGTGTCTTATCAAGTTCTTCTAGACGCCTGTTCCACACATGTCCTTTCTCTAATGGCAAAGACACCTCATGTCATCACTGAGTCGTCAGGCCTGACCAAAACATGTGTCTTTCTTACTGTAAACTCTTCCACATCTTCTCCCCTCCAATCCAATTTGCTTCCCACATAAAACTATTGACCTAAGACAAATTCAGAGCATCCTGAAAGGCTTGGCAGCTCAAAGTGCATTTCAATCATCAACTTGGAAAGAAAAGAGGAAAAAATAAAATCATCAGGTGAGCGGAGCAGGTGAGAGGAAACACACTGACAAACTTTCCCACGGTTCTCTCTCCGGAGGAAGATGCGGGGAAAGTGGGGGATCCCTTCCATGGTGTCCTTTTCTTTAATATCTTTTCCCCTATGTATTCCAGACCCACTTTAGGATCTTGTTTTTATCATTATTATTATTGCTGCAGGTGCGCAACAACAACAACAACCAAAAAAAGGATAAAATTGTTCAAGGGTAGCTCTTGGCTCCTGCCTAAGAAGCCTCCTGCAAACTCCACACTGTGTGTGTGTGGTGTGTGTGTGTGTGGTGTGTGTGTGTATATGTGTGTGTGTGTATATGTGTGTGTGTGGTGTGTGTGATGTGTGTGAGTGTGTGTGTGTGTGTGTGGTGTGTGATGTGTGAGTGTATGTGTATATGTGTGGTTGTGTGGTGTGTGTATGTGTGAGTGTGTGTGGTGTGTGTGGTGTATGTGTGTGAGTGTATGTGTGTGATGTGTGAGTGTGTGTATATGTGTGGTGTGTGTATGTGTGAGTGTGTGTGGTGTATGTGTGTGGTGCGTGTATATATGTGTGTGTGATGTGTGTGTATGTGTGTGTGTGTGATGTATGTGTGAGTGTGAGTGAGTGTGCATGTGTGAGAGTGTGTGTGTGTAATGTGTGTATATGTGTGTATATGTGTGTGTGGTGTGTATATATATGTGTGTGGTGTGTGTGTGTATGTGTGAGTGTGTATGTGTGAGTGTGGGTGTGAGTGTGTGTGAGTGTGTGAGTGTGTGTGTGTGTGTGGTGTGTGTGTGTATGTGGTGTGTATATGTGTGTGGTGTGTGTATGTATGTGTATATGTGTGGTGTGTGTGTGAGAGTGTGTGTGTGTGTGTGTGGTGTGTGTGTGTGTGGTGTGTATATGTGTGTGGTGTGTGTATGTGTATGTGTGTGTGGTGTGTGTGTGGGGTGTGTGTGTGAGTGTGTGTGTGTGTGAGTGTGTGTGTGTGTGGTGTGTATGAGTGTGTGTGGGGGGGGGTGTGTGTGGTGTGTGTGTGTATGAGTGTGTGTGTGAGTGTGTATGTGTGAGTGTGTATGTGTGGTGTGTGTGTGTGTATGAGTGTGTGTGTGTGTGAGTGTGTGTGAGTGTGTGAGTGTGTGTGTAAGGGGCTGAGGTCTAGCTTGCAGCTCCCCGGTCTCTGCAGAGCGGCCTCTGCGCGGCAGGCGGGCGGCCCCGCCATCAGGGCCCCGCTAATGAGCGCAGAGCAGCAGAGGCGCCCGCACACACCGACAGCCGCGGACCTGAATTATGATTTCCCGGCGGCAGGGCGGGCGGGGCAGGGCTGGGAGCAGGAGAAAGTTTGTTTGACCTTATTCCTCTCCCGCCGAGGCTGGCGAGGCGCGGCCGCGGCGCGCACCCCGGCCCCGGCCGCAGCGCCCCGCACCCACCGCCGCCCGTTCTTGGGGGGCGGGGGGTCAGGACCAGCCACGGAGGGTGTGCACTGGGCGGAGAGGAGGTGCGGGCCCGGTCCCCCGCCCGCAGGCCTGTGTCGGCCCGGCCCCCACGCCCGCACCGCGCCCCGCCGGGAGCGGGTGGGAGATGGGGCGCCGGCCCCCATCCTCGCCCTCCGGCCCAGGCCGCGCCGGGAGCGCCCCCTGTATGGGGGGCGGGGGGCTCGGCGGCCCGGGAGCCCGGCGGCGGGGCGCGGGGAGCGGCCCCCAGGTGCAGGCCGGGCCGGCGCCGCGGGGCGGAGGGGGGGGGGCGAGCGGACAGCGGCGGGGGGAGGGGAGGGGGCGCCCCGGTCCCCCTGCGGCCCCGGCCGCCCCCCTCCGGGTCCCCGCTCCCCCCCGGGCGCCCCCCCCAGCCCTCAGCCCGGCGCCCGCGGCTCCCAGCGGTTGGGGTGAACTCGCCCCGGCCCCCCTCCCCCCGCCCCCGGGCCCGCTCCCCGGCGGGCCGGGCGGGCCGAGCCCTCCTACCTCCGACCCGGTACATGTTGGCCGCCATGTCCGCCCGCCCGCCGCCCGGGAGCCCGCGCCGAGCCCCGCCCGCCGCCGCCGCCGCCGCCGCCTCAGCCCGGCCGCCGCCTCCGCTGCCGCCGCCGCGGGGGGAGGGGGAGGCGGGAGGGGGAAGCGGGGGGGAGGGGGAGGGCGGGGGGAGGGGAGGGTCAGGTGCCCGCCCCCTGCCTGGGGCTGCGGGCCGAGCGGGCGGCCGCGGTGGGTGGGCGCTGCGGGGCGCGGCGCGGTGGGGAAGGGCCGGGGTTTGGGGGGGTCCGGGTTTGGGGTTTGGAGGGGCCCGGGTTTGGGGGGGGGGGGGGAATGGCTGGAGGTGGCGGCCCCGCGGACCAAGGTCCTGACCCCGGGACGCCTGCACTCGCTAGCGTGGGCCCGGGGCCATTAGAGCATGGGGCGGGGGGGCAAGGGGTCCCCCTCTACGGCGCCCCGAAAGCCCCACCCAGGGTACCCTGTCACCTGCCACCCCGAGACGGTCTGCACCCCCACACACACACCCCGGGAGCCCCGGGGGATGGGACCCCAGCACGCAGGTGCTGGTCTCAGGGCAAACACTCGGCTGCAAAGAGGCGCGCGCGGCAGGCGCCCTCCCTCCCGGGGACGAGGGGCCACGAGGCTCCCGGCCGCCAGGTGCCTCCAGCTTCCCCGCGCGGAGGCCCAGCTGGGACCCGGGAGGAGGGGCTTCCTTCCGAGGCCAGGCCGTCTGCATGGGCAGGTCTGCCCGCGGTCACCCCAAAACCGAGCCCACTCCCCCACCCCGGGAGGTCTGGCCTCTCCACAGACCTAACGTACTGCGGGCCCCACTGGGAGAAGGGCGTGGGGGAGGGTGCCCTTTGTTCGTCGGGGAACTGGGGCTCCACAGTTCATCACCACCACCCCCAGGAGGGCATGCTGTCAATCAGCTTGCTGTGGATGGTTGGACTGTTCACCTCTGTGTGAGCCTAAAGCTTTTCTGTGGTTATTATTTTCCCATGCTGATTCTCTAGACAAATCCCTGTTTGCTCGGCCTTCATACCCTCACCGAAATAAAAAATTAAAATTAAAAAAAAAATTGAATCTTAGCTGGCTATCCCTCAACTGCACACAAAACAACTTTCTCAAGAGAAGGCAAGCCGTGCCAAACTACTCCCAGACACTGTTGTATCATAAACATGAAGATGATCCCTTACTGTAAGGGGTTGTTTGGAGTTTCTGGTGATTTGCAGCTCCGTGGCGTTGACTGTGGCTTTGCGTTTTGTTTGCCCGTGGACGGTATATTTGTGTTGTGCACTATTGTTACAAATGATGGAAGTCAAAAGAATAATTTTTTAAACAACTGATGCGAACTGAAAAGTAAAAGAAGGTTAAGTGCCTTTGCCTGGAATTACCTTGATGGACTGTGTGACCCCAAGATTCTTCATCTATTAAAATGAGGACATGAATCAGACTTCACAGGTGGGTTGAAGAATCTGTTGTGAAGATATCTGAAAACACTTTTGAGGAGCACCATACAAATAACCGATGTCTGTTGTTTTTCTTAAAAGAAGAACTTCAGCCAAAACCGGTTTGGCTTAGTGGATAGAGCGTCGGCCTGCGGACTGAAGGGTCCGGGGTTCGATTCCGGTCAAGGGCATGTACCTTGGTTGCGGGCACATCCCCAGTGGGGGTTGTGCAGGAGGAGGCAGCTGGTCGATGTTTCTCTCTCATCGATGTTTCTAACTCTCTATCCCTCTCAATTCTTCTCTGTGTAAAATCAATTTATATATATATATATATATATATATATATATATATATATATACTTCAGAAAGTTTCAGTTTCCCAGGAGTTTTAGACTATGTGTCCCATGGTGAGCCTGCATCACCTCTCTGACCCAGAGGGGGGGAAAAATAAGTGTTCTGTGATGCACACAGCATAGCTGATGATCCCACTAAAAGTATACTGTGACTTGTCTGATATCACTCCATTTCTAATCTGACATGTAAGTGGGTTGAATAATTCACCTGTAGTCACCCAGTAAACTGGCAGCAGGCAAGGACTTCGTCTGTGAAACTTATATACTTCCTAATAGCAAAGAGGAATGGACATAAGGGAGTTCAGCAAATGTTTTGTAGGCTGCAAGAATCCCTCAACCAGACCAATAAGGGTGGGAAAGGCTGCACATTCAGAGAAAGCAAGGGCACCTCAACCTCCTCCGCTCCTTAGTTCAGACCACAAACATCATCAACCAGCCCGAACTTCACTCTTAGCGTAGCTGTTTAGCTTTAAAATCTTGAACTAGTTCCTGAACCCTCTGAGTTTCAAGTTCTACAAAATACAACTATCGATAGTAGCCGAAACCGGTTTGGTTCAGTGGGTAGAGCATCGACCTGCGGACTGAAGGGTCCCAGGTTCGATTCCAGTCAAGGGCATGTACCTTGGTTGCGTGCACATCCCCAGTGGGGGGTGTGCAGGAGGCAGCTGATCAATGTCTCTCTTTCATCGATGTTTCTAACTCTCTATCCCTCTACCTTCCTCTCTGTAAAAAAATCAATAAAAATATATATTTTTTAAAAATACAACTAGAAGTATGAAACCAATTTGGCTCAGTGGATAGAGCGTCAGTCTGCGGACTGAGGGGTCCCAGGTTCGATTCCAGTCATGGGCATGTACATTGGTTGCGGGCACAGCCCCATTGGGGGGTCTGCAGGAGGCAGCTGGTCGATGTATCTCTGCATCGATGTTTCTACCTCTCTATCCCTCTCCCTTCCTCTCTGTGAGAAATCAATAATATTTTTTAAAAAGTACAACTAGTGATTGACACCTACAGCAAATGTTCGTGCTAAAAAGTAAATATATAAAGTGTTCAGCACATGTTAAGAGCTCTGGGCTCCAGCCATCCTTATTACAAAGAAGTGTTTCTCAAGACCATGCCAGGAATCCCAGGGCCAATCCAGCTCTCCCAGGGGTAAAATTTCCTAACATGGCTGTTGTGATTAAAGGACTAGATAAGGGATTGCCTAAAAGCCTGGAACGTTCTCTGAGTCAATCTCCTAGCGTCCCACCATTTAGCCGAACAGGAATGGACTGCAAGAGAGCTATAGATGAGATGGCAAGTTGAGTTTTTTTCAACTTGATGGTGTAGGTTTTTTTTTTTTTATCAATGCCAAGTCTAGGAGCTTGGTGGCCAGACTTACTAAAGGAGCTCAGGGGTCTAAAATGTAATAACAGTAATCTTAAACCCAGTGCTTGTGTGTTCTATGATTTCTCTTTTCTCTCTCTCTCTCTCTCTCTCTCTCTCTCTCTCTCTCTCTCTCTCTCTCTCTCTCTTTCTCTCATTAGCTCATTTTGTTATTTAGTAAAACTCTTTCGGAAGAAAAAAAAAAAAGTTAGCCTGTTGCAGCTATTTGAGGAGATCCTGGTTTTTTAAAGGAGGAGGATTTTGTCCCAGGAGAAAGGCAAGAATGTGACGGCAAGAATCAAAGCAAAGGAGCCCCTAAAGGAAAGGAAACCAGGATCTGGAAAAGCTTCTCCAGGCATGGAGCTTCTCCTTCCACATATCTCTGTGCTAAACACAGGACCAATCCCAGAATGTCCTGCTTTTTGAAAGTGTGAATTTTGGGGTTCTTTGTTTTCCTCATGCCCTCAAAAGGGAGCCAGCTCAGCGCTTTGGCTGCAACCACAAGGAGTTCCCTTCTCTAGTGACCTGTGTCCAGGTAGTGGAAAAGGAACTAGATAGAAGTCCCCGGGGAGCAGGGATAAGCCCCTGGAAGTTTAACCTAACTGGCACTTCCCTTTTTTAACGTCTGGAGAGCTTTCATGTGAGAGCTGGCTGGGCCGTATAGGGTGTGGGACCGACAGGAAAAATGATACTAATGGACAGTGGAAAGCATTAAAGGGGTATCTCAGGAAGTGTTTATAATAAATAAATAGAAATGACTCAGGCTTCAGCAAAGGGATTAAGTGGAGATGAAGCAGGATATTAAGAAGCTAGGAAAATTCCTTGTCAAATGGAATGGAGAAACTCAGATATCAGATGCAAATTGGCCTCATCCAGCACCCTGACCTGTCTTCCTCTTCCTCCCGGCATGACCACTCCCTTAAGAATTAAGCCCTCAGGACAATGAGGTTCTGATCGGCCTCAAATAACCTTAGGAACAAAGCCTCGGGTCTGTTGACCACAGACAGAGTTTTTGTCAAACTAGAGATAACATCTAGGCCTCAGTTGTGTTTCTGATCCAGGCCCAGAAGTGCTAAAAACATGAAACAACGCCACGCTGGCATCAGGAACATATGCAATAACCCATGACCTCCTATCCTCCCACCAACCAACTGGTAGAGACCATGACCCTGACTCTATATGCTCATTTGTAAAAAAAAAAAAAAAAAAAAAAAAAAAATATATATATATATATATATATATATATATATACATAGTATATTTATATATTTTGTATATTTATATATATACTTTTATTGATTTCAGAGAGAGGAAGGGAGAGGGAGAGAGGTATAGAAACATCAATGATGAGAGAGAATCATTGATCGACTGCCTTCTGCACACCCGCTACTGGGGATTGAGCTCACAACCTGAGTATGTGCCCTCACAGGAAATCAAACCATCACTTCCTGGTTCATGGATCTACGCTCAACCACTTAGCCACACAGGCCAGGCTTAGAAAGGGGTCCATGTAGTAGGGGGTCCTGAGGGCAGTTGACTGAAAGCTACAAGTTTACCTTCTACTGGACTAATTGTGGGTAATGTCAATAGTCTTTCATTTACATGAATATAGAGACCTGTGTAGGCTATGCTTCCATTTTAAAAAACAACTTTTTTATAGCATCACGTTCTTCAGATGCTGAGAAATAAACCAGTGTAAACACAAACACTTGGAAATATGAGTTAAAAGCAAAATGAGATCCAATAAAAAAATAATAATAATAAATAAAATAAATAAAAAAAATAAATCCTTAAAAAAAAAAAAAAAAGAACAGAATGAGGTCTTTCTAAAGAGCTGATAAGTAAACTGTAAGGAC